CACCACCACAGCACATGTGTGTGTGTGTATGCACGTCCGAGTAGGTGTGGATGGACTCACACACACACACACACACACACACACACACACACACACACACACACACACACACACCCACTAACCCTCTGGTCATATGTCCTACAGAGGGAGGATGCTGCTGGGCTACAGTGACCTGGAGTTAGCCAATAAGGGAGGTTATGACCTTGTCCACTACGATGACCTCGCCTACGTCGCCTCCGCCCACCAGGAACGTGAGTACTGCTGTAGTTGTTTGTGTTCACCGTACCTGCTCCCCTAACGAGCTTCAGGTGACCTTTAATGACCCGGTGTAACATACAGTGACATAATCTGACCTCTAATCCCCCTGTATAAAGTTTTAAATGACCCTGTATGATGTATAGTGACCTGTGGTGACCCCGTGTGAACTTTTTCCGACAGTGCTGAAGACAGGGGCGTCAGGGATGATCGCCTACCGTCTACAAACTCGAGACGGGACCTGGCAGTGGCTACAGACCTCCTCCCGCCTCGTCTACAAAAACTCCAAGCCTGACTTTATCATCTGCACTCACCGACCGCTCATGTAGGTGTCTCCCCCCTCCCCCCCGCATCCCTACCTCCCTCTCCTCACCTCTCCACACCTCCCTCTCCTCACCTCTCCACACCTCCCTCCTCACCTCTCCCTACCTCCCTCTCCCTCCCTCTCCCTACCTCCCCTCTCCCTCACCTCTCCACACCTCCTCTCCTCACCTCTCCCCTACCTCCTCTCCTCACCTCTCCACCTCCCTCTCCTCACCTCTCCCTACCTCCCCTCCTCCTCTCCCCTACCTCCCCTCTCCCTCCTCTCCCTACCTCCCTCTCCTCACCCCTCTCCCCACCTCCCTCTCCTCCTCACCTCTCCCACACCTCCCTCTCCTCACCTCTCCCCTACCTCCCTCCTCACCTCTCCCCTACCTCCCCTCTCCTCCCCCTCTCCCCCCTCTCCTCACCTCTCCCACCTCCTCTCCTCACCCCTCTCCCTACCTCCCTCTCCTCTCCACCTCCCCTCTCTCCTCCTCTCCCTACCTCCCTCCTCCACCTCTCCACACCTCCCTCTCCCTCTCCTCTCCCTACCTCCCCTCCTCCTCTCCACACCTCCCTCTCTCACCTCTCCCCACCTCCCTCTCTCCACCTCTCCCACACCTCCCTCTCCTCACCTCTCCCCTACCTCCTCTCCTCACCTCTCCCTACCTCCCTCTCCCTCCTCTCCCCACCTCCCTCTCCTCCCTCTCCCCTACCTCTCTCCTCACCTCTCCCTACTCCCTCTCCCCTCTCCCACCTCCCTCTCTCCCACCTCTCCCCTACCTCCCTCTCCTCACCTCTCCCTCCCTCTACTCCCCTACCTCCTTATCTCTACCTCTATCTCGATCTTGCCTTTCCTGCCACCATCCTCCCACCACCATACCCCTACCATCGCTCTCCTCCTCCACCTTCCTCACCACCACACTACCTTTCCTCACCACCATACCCTCACCTTCCTCACCATCATACCCTCACTTACCTCAATACCATAACCCCACCTCCTCCTTCCCCCTCAACCTCCCCCTCAAACCCCTTCCCAACCCCCTCCACCTTCAAACCTCCCCACTCCCTCTCCAGTAGTCCAGGCTTCTCAATTAGTATCAAATTTTACCGTCAGTGGAGATGTGAGAGGCCAGCATAAGAACCTCACCTGAGACTTACGACAAAGATGGATTCTCAAAGGTTCATAAGAGAATTTTTTTTCCCTTAAGTAGAAATATGAGAAGGTTTGAAAACTGGTTCCCTTATGGGGTCATATTCTTAAAGGTACGTATCATAAGTTCCGCCTTAAGTGGAGGTGTTACAATAAAGGGACATTAACGATACAGAGGTGAGGAGGTATCGTAAGTGAGATATTATAGTGTAGATATTGTACTGAGATTCTATACCGTAATTACAATATATGGAATTGAGGTAGATAATGTTTACTCTAAGTTAGTCTGTGTTAGTAGTTAATTCTCTATTGTGTTTTAGTTTCACATCTTGACAGTGAAGTAAATATACAGGGTGTCTATAAATGATTACCCTGATTATAACACGAGAGTATACTGTTTTTAGGGTAATCATTTATGGACACCCTGTACAGGTATCTAGTTAAGGTATATTCTCGGTTATGATTTTTTTTTAGGTTATTTTTTTGTGCCTTAACAGATATAATAAGTTCATTGTTTGCATCAACACTTACGAGGAATATGAGTCAGGTGAACCTTTGTGAATCCAAAGCCGTGGTCTAGTGTTACCTTAACCTTTAAATTCCAAGGTGATGTAATTACCTTTCCACAAAACCTGCCATTGATGTAGCAGGTCTCTCTCTCTCTCTCTCCCTCTCGCCGGATAACTTCTACCTGAGTTACTGGTGTCATTATCATACCTCTACCACTCTGGGTATTGTTATTTCCTTTGACTTCACAATTACTAATAGTTTAATTATCATATCCTTGTACATCCTGCCGGTGTAGTTCTCGTACATCTACACTTACTTATGTTATACAAGGCTAATTATCATACTCCTGCTGCTACTCCTACCGGTACAAACTCTCACCATCCTCCTACCACATTCACGAGTGGTATAATTATCATACTTGTGTATCCTCCCCTCCTGGTGTAAGTTCCTGTACCTGTTATTGGTATAATTACAGCAAGACCTTAACACATCTGCTGCTTGTTATCGTTTCTTGGCGCCTCAGCTGGTGTGATTATCGCGCCTCAGCTGCAGTTCTGAGGATAAAAAGCTTCCTCAGTTTGTGGTTGTTGTGGTGGTCGCCTCTTATTGACGTAGTTATGGCAGCTATGTTACAGGATGTGGTAATCAGTGTCCGTCTATTTACTGACAGCTGCAAGAAGTCCAGTGAGTGACTTACCGCTGTGATTATACTCAGGGAGATATACTGTTTGTTAGTTGTTGAATTGTTTAATAATAATTAACGGTTTATTGAAAGAGCTTGGCAGCCAGAAGGCTGAAAATATACAGTTACATATTTGGGGAATGGGTTACGAATTACAAATAATATACAAGTAACATAAGTGACACAAATAAGACATATAATAACTAGATGGGGAAAAGCTCAAACTACAGTTCATTTCAACATAGTGACAGTGCAAGGAGTAGTGTTTACTGGGGTGTGTGTGTGTGTGTGTGTGTGTGTGTGTGTGTGTGTGTGTGTGTGTGTGTGTGTGTGTGTGTGTGTGTGTGTAATAATAATAATAATAATAATAATTTTGTTTGTGGAAGTGTGTGTGTGTTGAGCCCCTAACACTGTGTTCCATGACCCAAATTGACCCTTGTTATGTTTGTTCCAGGGAGGAGGAGGGCCGCGACCTACTGGGGAAGCGAACTATGGACTTCAAGGTGTCTTACCTGGATCCCGGACTCACCCAGTCCTACCTCTGTGACTCCGAGTTGCCGCAGCTTTACGCCTCCCGCATGAGCCGAAAGTACAAGACGCAGCTGCGGGACTTCCTCACCACGTGCCGCACCAAGAGAAGCTACACTAACCTCTCCGACACTGCCTACAACAACTACAATAACGTGTACGGTGCCTCCGCCTACGCTACCGACAACGGCCTCTACATGCAACAGAACCTGGGCAACCTTCAGTCTCTCTACCCCGCCAGTTACATCCCGGCTGACAACTTGTTTCACTACCGCCAGTTAGGCTCCTACTACCCAGACTACATGACGCACGGCTACGTTAGTAACGGATACGTCGACCCCGCACGTCCCTGCCTCGGCTACGACTCCACCGGACTTACGAAAACCGCAGCGGATCAGAAGCTCTACTGCACGACACAAATCGACGCGTCAAAGTACCAGTACAAGCCGGCGGACGCCTACTCGGCCGTGTACGGCACCAACACCGTGTTACCCGCTTTAGAACACAAGTACAGCGACCTGAGGACAGTAGATGTAAGGCGGGACGACCCCTCGGCCTTAGCGTCCCTAGGAGCTCTGGCGGCCACTCCAGGCATCGCCACCAGTGTGGCCGTGAGCTCCGCCGCCCCCACCGCCGCCTCCGCCACCCACAAGGAGGAGAGCAAAGAAACCAACGAGACTTACGCCAACAACACCCGCCAGACGGTGCTCATGTGGGGCTCCGCCTCCCACGAGTACGACCCCAACAAGAAGTACGTCGAGGTTCCCGTGTCGTCCGCCCCCACGCCGCTGGATCCCAGCCTGAGCGGCGTCGCCTGTAAGTGGGGTACCGCCACGCCGGCGTCGACGCCCGGTGCCCGTAGCAGCGCAGGAGGCTCCCCGCATGGTGGTGAGGGCACCTCGCCCCACGCAGTGGGACCTCCCACCGCCCACTCCGCAGCTGTTGCTGCCGCCGCCGCCTCCGCCGCCCATGTCGGCGCCGGAGCCGTGGCGCCAGCGGGTAAGGCTGCGTACGGCTACAGTGAGGGCGGCGAGGTATGGCACCACCAGTACTATCCTTACCACCCGTATCACACCCCGCAGTGAGTGACAGCTTTGTTTATTGTCTCTCTGGCCTGCACGGAGCATGACGAGCCCGCCGTAGGCACCGGCCACGCTCACAGCCCCCCTCCCTCCTCTTAATCTCTCCCCTGCGTGGCCTGCCCCTCCCGGAGACCCTCCGGCTGGGGGAGGACACGAGGCGGGTGTTCCCTCAGTACCCAGGTTGTACCCACCAGGGCTGTGAACTGGGCTTCGAGTAATATGGTATCAAGGCTTGGTGTGTGTAGATCAGAGGTGTTGCAGCCTGACTCCCGCCGGGAGGTCGACGGAGGCAATTCTCCCCTGTTGTCCTGTTGTTGCAGACTTTTTCTGGGCCTCAAGTAGACGGCGGGCTGTTGTGTTTACTAACCTGGAGCCACTGGATACCTGATACACCGCGCCTGACCACCAGTTATACAGTCAGCCATCTAATATTTAACATTCCCCGTTAGGGACAGTACAGATGCATCAACATAAAAAATAGAGATACATAGGCGAACTAACCACCTATTTTTTCCCTATCCTAAAACGTGCACCAACTTCGTAACATTTGCCGACGTCTTGATTCACTCAACATATTAAATAAAGAAGGTTCTGTGGTCCTGGCGCGGTGTCCCTGTTATCCAGCGGCTTCAACTGCATAACAAAAACCAGTTTGATTATCCGTGTCGTTGATCGCTTATGTGGTAAGTGTTTAGCAACAGTTTGTTCCTGATAACGACGTCGAGTCTTCCTCGTCCTGCATGAGCTCAGTGGCTAGCCAGTGAGCTGTGTGATCTTGCATGACCCTTAAACGTGGGCACTGGGGGTCGGTGGGAGGCTCAGGGTAGGTCACGTAGGGTCAAGATAGGTCAGTGACGGGTGAGGTAAACTTACTACTCTGGCACATATATAAAAGTATAATTTAGTATTTTGTTGTAGGTTTTAGGTTCTGTAAAAAAGAAATATCGATATTCACTTCAATTTTTATTGTTTTTATACAATATTTCACCAGAGATGAACCTCTTAGGCATGATGACTTAACCCAAAGTACGATGACTCAAACCCCTGAGTACGATGTTATCTTACACAAGGGTTAATGCCGTCGTACTGAAATGGTCAAGTTATCTTAACTAAAGGTCTAATTCTTCATACACCGACTTTTGCCAATGGTATTCATTACTTCATAAAATGTACATATCAAAAGTTTAGTTGAGAACAGAGAGAGTTATTCACTGGCACACCAGACCTAACCCGACCCTTTGGCATACTGCAGTGCCGCGGGGTGCCATTGACCCATCCACCCCCAGAAGGACCAAATATATCGCTGAAGGAGAGGCTGACGCAGGGTACTAACCAACTAACTGACGGTTCTGATCACTTCTGTTTTCTCTCTCCTTCAGGCGATTATGTAGAGAAAGTCTTATCAGAGGTTCAATGATGACACGATACTTGGAGGCCGTGAGTGTATAGGTTAAGACACTTATAGTACAAGTCCAAAAACTGAGTCTGTCTTTGTAAATGTTAAAGGTCAAACTAGTATCGTGTGACCCTTGAACCCCTAATGAGCCCTTAAAGGTATGTGTGAAGTAGCCACCTGTGTCTCCTTTAGCCGCAAACACATGTAAACAACTTAAGTGATTGGCTAATGACCCAATCACCAGTTTTAAAGGAGTTAAACTTACGTGTTGCCAGAATATATATCCACTTATACTTTACCATATTTTTGGGAGATAACCTTTAGAATATCTCACTTTTCTTAAGTTTGATATCTAATACTTCAATACCAGTGTCAAATACTAATTCAGTTGGAAGTGTAACTGTACTACCGTATATTTCAATGGACTTTAATACGTAATGTCAGGTGCAACAATACCTGGCAACATTTGTATCAGGCAACCCTTTAAAACTGTTAAGAGATCTCAAAAACTTCTCATTCAGTCAAATCCGGCAAAGATGAACACATGGTGACAGGTCTTTAATATCTTAAGCATGGCTGCCTGATGACTGCATGCCTCTTTCTCTGGTTATATATATATATACATATATATATATTTATATATATATATATATATATATATATATATATATATATATATATATATATATATATATATATATATATATACATATATATATATTTATATATACCATTTTTTAGCAACATCTCTTAAGTTTGTCCTAAGTTTCGTATTTTTTTCCTTGTTTTCTTATTTTGTCACTCATTTTTGCACCGTCACCATGACTTGCATGAATTTAATTATTAGGTGAAGGTTCAGACAAATTCATATGATTTATTTAACTGTGTTTGATTTCCTTTTTATATCATTAATTAGATCTCTTTTTTGTGGTTAATACTTCAGTCCCCTCCCTTCCCCTTCTCCCTGTTGACCCTTCCCTCCCTCCCACCCCAGCCTCACCCTTCTTAAAGCATGATCGTTCAGCCTTCAGTGCTCCTCTCTGAAGTGACTTGTCAACATGCTAGTGACTTATGGAAGATGACGCTAACAGTTGTGACTTTATGATATACGAGTGGCTTATATAGCTGACACTTCCCACACCTGTTGTTGTACACTAGACACTCAAATGTACCCCAGATGTAACCTTGTAATAGGCACTTAATGTAGTCTTGTACCTGACACTACTGTAATCCTGTACTAGGCACTAATATATCCCTATAATTGGCACTTGATGTAGCCTTATACCTAATACTAATGTAACCCTTCCCCGGTACTAGGTGCTTATCGTACCTCTGTTCCTGGCATTTAATGTACCACTGTACCTATCAATGTCCCCTTGTACTAGACTCTTGTATTTTACACATCAACAAATAAGGATAAAACGACAATAACACTAAATCAATTATCACATACAGATAAGAAAATAATTATGAAAACAACGAAAACCACAAAAACAACAAAAACAACGAAAACAACGAAAACCACAAAAACCACAAAAACAACAAAAACAACGAAAACAAAATAGACCACCTAATCTACAAAACAAATCACGAAAACAACCTATCATATATAATATAAAAACGACGAAAATCCTGAAAACAACATAAAATACCTCCCAAAACAACTTAAAGAACAATAAGTATAAGATAAATCACGAAAACAAAATCACGAAAGACGATAAAAACAACTTAACAACAAAACCAAACAAAGACAATACAATTAATAAAAAAAATAAGACAAAACCAAAACAGCAAAAACAACAGAAATAATAAAAACAAAGAAACAAAATACAATTACGAATTTAAAAATAAAATAAACAGGAAAAAAAAGATAAACACGGAAAATAAAACTACTTAAACACAGCCCCAGAAAACCCCATATGCAAAATTAAATTAACAAAAGACAAACAACAAAACAATAACAAAAAAACAATAAGATAATTCCTCTTATCATAAATTCAACAACTGTCTTAGCTGCCATTGGACCATCCCCTTACTTCACGTCTTAACTCTTGTGGTAGAAACATCATCTCGATATCAACGAAATAATGAACCATAAATATCATTATCTAGACTAGTAAATAAACGTTTATTGAACCTTAAATAAGATTAAGGATTATAAAGCAAAAAAATAATAATTTATGATAATAATTGTATGCTTTCTCTATATAAATTCTCTCTAAATTCATAATTAATTAAGAAATGTATGATAGATAGAGTATGATCGGGAGATAGAGCTAGTTCACACTGCTTGCTATACCCCACTACAACTTCTCTCTCTCTCTCTCTCTCTCGTTCTAGTTCTCCATTACTCCTCTTTCTTCTTCTAGCTATTTCTTTTATCCATTGGTCTCTTGTCTAAGACGTGGCCTTGTTCTTTGGTGGACCCCACAGTGCCATGGGGGAACCCAGCTATCCGCAGATCAGCAGGAACCCAATCCTTTGTTGTCCATCTCTGAGGTAACCAACACCCTTCTCAACCACCACGACTAGACCAGGTGGTCGACTACCCTCAGGTAAACACAATACTCCCTCTTTTTTGTGTGTGTGTTTTTTTTTTTTTGTAATCTCTTCGTCATATCTTTGGACGAGCTGTTGTTCTTGGTAAGGTGCTCTTTCTGTGTATATCTCTTTCTCTCTCTCTCTCTCTCTCTCTCTCTCTCTCTCTTTGTTCTCTCAAGACTTTCACAATAAGAGAGAGAAAGATTATTAAAGTAGAAGATTAACCAAATCTTAGACATTTCACAATATGTACTTTTAGCTGATATAGACAGCAATAAGTCTCCTGCACTCCGCCACTGTTAAAGCACCAACAATGCAATCATCCGGCTAGAGAGACAACGCACCCAAACATTTTCTTTCATAGTGTTGATATTTCAGTCAAATTTTAAATAGCTAAGCATCACCTTTCTCAGATTTGAAGATAAACTCAACTGCTTATAAAAATATATATTAGTTTTAAATTTTACTTGTCATCAGTACATAACAGCAGTAAATAGATAAACTTGCGGTGTAGTCAACTTGTGATACACTTAGCCTTATGATATAGTCTCTAGTGATGTCTTGATGTTTCTTCTTACTAAAGACATGATTTCAGGGGGAAAGAGGAGGGAGCTCTATGTGGGAGCCCAGAAGTGACCTCTGACCCGCCACTCCTTGCCCAATCCTGAGATCAGCTCATGACCCAAGGCCACCAGAGCCCGGCCTTGGGTTCACCCTTAACCTCCCATCTTCAAGGGTCACCCCAACCAGTGACTCAGTACCAGCAGAGTCCAGACGTAGGGTCACCACTTCCTGTACCCTCGCACCTCCAGGGGTCACCACAAACTGTGACTCAATATACTCAAACTCAGGTCACGGGGTCACCAATTCCAGTAACCCAATACCAGCAGATCCAAGTCATTGGGTCACCCCTACCTGTAACCCACTACCAGCAGAGTCCGGCCACAGAGTCACCCCTATCTGTGACCCACTACCAGCAGAGTCCGGCCACAGGGTCACCATTTTCTGTGACCCAGTACCAGCAGAGTCCAGCCATGGGTTCACCCCTACCTGTGACCCAGTACCAGCAGAGTCCAGCCACAGAGTCACCCGTACCTGTGACCCAGTACCAGCAGAGTCCAGCCACAGAGTCACCCCTATCTGTGACCCACTACCAGCAGAGTCCAGTCACAGAGTCACCCGTACCTGTGACCCAGTACCAGCAGTGTGTGACCCAGTACCAGCAGAGTCCAGCCACAGAGTCACCTGTACCTGTGACCCACCAGCAGAGTCCAGCCACGGAGTCACCCGTACCTGTGACCCACCACTACCAGCAGAGTCCAGCCACAGAGTCACCCGTACCTGTGACCCAGTACCAGCAGAGTCCAGCCATGGGTTCACCCCTACCTGTGACCCACTACCAGCAGAGTCCAGCCACAGAGTCACCAGTACCTGTGACCCACTACCAGCAGAGTCCAGCCACGGAGTCACCCGTACCTGTGACCCACTACCAGCGGAGTCCAGCCACAGAGTCACCTTTATCTGTGACCCACTACCAGCAGAGTCCAGCCACAGAGTCACCTTTATCTGTGACCCACTACCAGCAGAGTCCAGCCACAGAGTCACCAGTACCTGTGACCCACTACCAGCAGAGTCCAGCCACGGAGTCACCCGTACCTGTGACCCACTACCAGCGGAGTCCAGCCACAGAGTCACCTTTATCTGTGACCCAGTACCAGCAGAGTCCAGCCACAGAGTCACCAAAACCAGTGACGTCAAACCTCGAGAATCAGGTCACGGGGTCCCCACTTCCCGCAACTCAACAAAGCCCAGGGAGTGAAAATGTTACAACTTTGACCCCGAGCCAAACGAACCCAGCCTAATTACAATTCTTTTTCCACCGGAAGGATAATTTCGAATGACCTGGATACTACATGGTAATCCAGGAAACTGTAAGTTAACCCAAGGATACCAGAAGTTAATCCAGGGATACTGGATATGAGCAGCCACATTGTAGGTAAACTGTTAATCCAGATGTTAACTGGATTTAATAAGAACTAACTCGGGTTGTACGTAGGAAATCAATCGAGGGCTACTGGAATTTAAGTACGGCTGTCAAAAACCATCGGTAACACTGTTGGAAACTTGCTAGGTGTTAAGGTTTATCCCAAAGGTGATGGAACTTTACCAAAGGCTTTTGATAGTTGAAGAAAAGGTGTTGGGAAGTAAGAAAAGGCTCCTGGGAAAAAATCAAGGCATTTGGATATTATCTAAATATTGTTAAAGTTAAACAAAGGCTGCTGAGAACTGAACGATGCTACTGGAGGTCACCCGAGGGTGTTGGAGGATAACAGAGGTCAACAAGAAAGTGTTAATCCTCTTCTAACTACAGCTTATCGTGGAAGGTCACGAAGGCTCCACACTTCTACCAGGACATTGAAGGAGGTCCGGCGGGCGCCAGCCACAGCTTGAAGGGGGCCTTGAAGACTCTAGTCCAACCGCTCTTGTGCCACAGCAGGCGTCCTGTGTGCCGTAGGGATCTCCAGGATAAACACGAGCGTCAAGGGGGTCAAGCAATCTTCTGACACCTGACACTGTGTTTGGTGGGGACCCTGCTGACACCTGACAGTGTGATTAGTAGGGTCCCTTCTGACACCTGACACAGTAGGTTTGGTGAGGTCCCTTCTGATACCTGACACAGCGGTGTTTGGTGAGGTCCCTTCTGACACCTGACACAGTGTGATTGGCGGGGTCCCTTCTGACACCTGACACAGAGGTATTTGGTGAGGTCCCTTCTGACACCTGACACTGTGTTTGGTGGGGTCCCTTCTGACACCTGTCACAGTGTGTTTGATGGGGTCCCTTCTAACACCTGACACAGAGGTGTTTGGTGAGGTCCCTTCTGACACCTGACACAGTGTGTTTGTTGGGGTCCCTTCTAACACCTGACACAGTGTGTTTGTTGGGGTCCTTCTGACACCTGACACAGTGTGTTTGGTGGGGTCCCTTCTGACACCTGACACAGCGTGTTTGGTGGGGTCCCTTCTGACACCTGACACAGTGTGTTTGGTGGGGTCCTTCTGACACCTGACACAGTGTGTTTGTTTGGGTCCTTCTGACACCTGACACAGTGTGCTTGGTGGGGTCCCTTCTGACACAGCGTGTTTGGTGGGGTCCCTTCTGACACCTGACACAGTGTGTTTGGTGGTCCCTTCTGACACCTGACAGCGTGACACCTGACACAGTGTGTTTGATGAGGTCCTTCTGACACCTGACACTGTGTGTTTGGTGGGGTCCTTGACACCTGACACAGCGTGTTTGGTGGGGTCCTTCTGACACCTGATACAGCGTGTTTGGTGGGTCCCACACCTGTGTGTTTGGTGGGGTCCTTCTGACACCTGACACAGTGTGTTTGGTGGGGTCCTTCTGACACCTGATACAGCGTGTTTGGTGGGGTCCCTTCTGACACCTGACACTGACACAGCGTGTTTGGTGGGGTCCCTTCTGACACCTGACACAGTGTGTTTGGTGGGGCCCTTCTGACACCTGACATGGTGGTGGGGTCCCTTCTGACACCTGACACAGTGTGTTTGATGAGGTCCCTTCTGACACCTGACACTGTGTGTTTGGTGGGGTCTGACACCTGACACAGCGTGTTTGGTGGGGTCCCTTCTGACACCTGACACAGCGTGTTTGGTGGGGTTCCTTCTGACACCTGACACAGCGTGTTTGGTGGGGTCCCTTCTGACACCTGACACAGCGTGTTTGGTGGGGTCCCTTCTGACACCTGACACAGCGTGTTTGGTGGGGTCCCTTCTGACACCTGACACAGCGTGTTTGGTGTGGTCCCTTCTGACACAAAGAGACTCTCATACATGGGTCGTGTGCTGAGTGGTAATAAAGCAACAATGTGGATTTGTATATGAAGATTTGGGAAACAATTTACGACATGCAAATCTATATATACATATAAGAAAGTAATTCTCCTTCACAAAAACAAGCAAACAAACACACAGAAAAAAACTCTACTAGCTTGACCTATTTTACAAGCTAGTAATAAAACTTAGGAGTGAACTAAAAAAATATATTAAGATTTTATACATTACTTAACAGGGTCATAAAAACACATCGAATATTGATGACGATGAGACAAAAAACTTACAAAAAATTAACAAATACAAAATTCTTACTTTAAGAAAATAAAATCAAGATGACTTTAATAATATTGTAATAAGGGATAAGTCGGTGAAGTGAAACGAGAACTCTGAGTTTCGTTTCAGTGAAGTGTTTCAATGACAAGTGTGGCCACGAAGCTGTCTGAAACTTGAACTGGTTGGTTCGGAATGGTGCGCCCTTGGATTGGAAGATTGTCCCATGCATTGGAAGGGTGCCCCGTGGATTAGGATTGGAATGATACTCCATGGATTGGATTGGTGCTTCTTTTGGATTGGATTAGTGGTCCTTGGATTGAAATTGTGTCCCAAGAACTGGATTGGTGACCCCCTTGAAGTAAAATGGTGCTGCTCCTCTCACTGGATTTGGACATTTAAAGAAAATGAGGCTGTGAATATGGTCATTTGGGTGAGGTAACAACCAAAGAAAAGAAACCGTTTCGTTGATAAATAGTGAAGAAAAAAAATCAGAAAGAATTGAACCATAAAAAAAATTTTGATTCACAATGAAGAAAAATGTGTTTCGGGTATGAAAGAAAATGATTAGTGAAAAATTAGACAGAAAACGACCATCCACACAGAAAACGGGAGATGGACAAAGAAAACGGCGATTGATAAGTAAGAGAAAACGACATTTAGTTTGACTCTGTGATGCACGACACAAATTTAGGCCCGATTTTGTTTTGGTGTAATTTGAATCCAATTTAAATTTTCACCAAAACAAAATGATATTAATTGAAGACTTTCCTCTCTTATACGGTCAAGAGTCATTACTTACTAAGGAGTTAGATAAGGAGGAATAATGGAAAAATAATGAATAAATATAAATATAATTGAGAAAGAGAAAACAAAAGATATAATCAAAAGAAACAAATGAGGTCAGGAGCTTTAAGTGTCTTTGTAATGAAAGGGAAATGGGGGAGAGAAGGAGATAATGGAAGAGAGAAATTTAGAGACACAAAATAAACAAGAAACGATGGAAAGTAGTGTAGTTAGGGTTAAGTACCGGGTGTAATGATGTGTCCTGAGGGGGTGTAGAGGTGTAACAGAGACAAGAGTATACAAAGTGTACAGAGAGAGAAAGAAAGGTTTATGAGTTGTGTATTACAAGAAAAAAAAAGTGTATTGGAACTGTGTAGCGATGGCAAAAATGTATACTAGAGAGAGGAGGGTGTAGGGGCTGTGTACAATGAAAAAAACAAAACAAGTCCCCTGGAGCTGTGTAGTGTTAATGAGTATACTAAGTGTACTGATAGAGAAAGAGATAGAGACAGGGGTGTAGGGTCTGTGTACCAAGAGAATGTTGTATCCAAGAGGGTCACACCGCACAGCAGCAGCGTTCGTGCCCACACCAAGCCACACACTACGTATTGATCTAGTCATGAATTAAGTTTATATTAGGATGTGACTGAGGTTCAGTACGACCTGGGTGAAGAAAGTGAGAGAGAGAGAAAGAATGGAGAGAGAAAACACGCAAAATAGAAGAAAATATAAATTTGTTAAAAGCTTATAAAGGAGGAAGGGGTGATAGCGAAATTTAAAATGAAAATTTTAAGAAAAAAAATGTGACGAGAAAATTTGAAAAAAAATAAAAAAAAATCTGATCACCACATCCCAAAGAGTGACATATAAAAATCAGCCTCTGTGTGTACTGTATGTAATAAGAGTCCAATTATTTCTTGTGTCTGTGTAAACAAAGTCTTCAAATTTCAATACAAGGATAGTGAGGGTTTGTGAGATGATGCTAGAAGGATAATATATGTACATGTGACATATATATATATATATATATATATATATATATATATATATATATATATATATATATATATATATATATATATATATATATATATATATATATATATACAAAAAAACTATTCTTGCCGAGGCTTGAGGAGCGTCTCGGGTATTCATAAATGCCTTGGAGCTCGAATATTGGCTCATGACTGTACTTCCTGCTGTGTTGTCCACCTAATTTACATATTTTGATGAACATTTTAAATTCTGATGTCTTGTGTATGAATTATTTTTTGTTTGTTTTTTTTTTGTATTTTTTATGGTACTTAAAAAGATTTTTTGGGTTGCTATAGAATGTAATTATTGTAGTTGATAACCACAACACAGTACTGTAACACACACAATTAATTAGGTTTTGCCCACCTTGGCATCTACCTGCTGACCTGTGTGGCATTTTAAAACAAGTTTACTGTAGTATGTAAAGAAACAATACGAATTATTAGTCTTACAGGCAAGGGAGCTCTTGGGGTTCCATATAAGGTAAACCCACACTATCTGTTGTCCAATAGCAGTGTGGTATTGGGGCTAGTGGGCGGAGCTTGTGACGTCAAACAGGTGACGTCACTAACTATGACATTACAGTTCCCTGTCTCTGTGAGGCATTATTGCTGATTGGTTGAACTTGTGATGTCATCCACATGATGCCACAGCTTCCAGTCTCTGTGCGGCAGAGATGCTCATTGGTGAGTGGCAGTGGACTGTGAGTTGTATATGTAATGTCACCAGCAATGACGTCAGAGTTTCTTTGCCCCTTACAAGCACTAACACTGATAAGGGGCGGAGCTTGTGACGCTATACATGTGACGTCACCTCTATGATATCACAGCCGTGTCCTCCAGTGGGACAGAACTTTACCCCCGTTCTTCTATTAGTGCCCACCTCTACTTTTAACACCGTAGTGAGTTATAAGA